ATTTGTGGGCGGGCGCTGAGCTGTGAGGAGAGAGGGGTGCAACCGGAGAGCAACACTGACGAGACGCCATTATCTAAGGACTGTAACAAACCGAGACAGACTCGATAAATCCAGCTTCGCCTTTACGGAATGGTGCCCCATTGACATTAAACATTGGGGCTGTTGATTTTGTGATCGAAGGATATGATCGTTGATTGGTAAAAATGACAATATCCGTGAACTTAAATGACTGGAAACAAGATGGCGCCTAGAACATTCAACATCCAGATTTTTAGCCGATCGCTTTTGCGTGGCGTCATGCGCGCTCTCGTTTCAGGGTTGTTTCCTGTTTTTGTTTCATGCCAAGATGACAGTCCTCAGCTACTGTCGGTTTTACAACTTTTACAATGACTTGTTGAGTTCTTTTTTCATAGGACCAAAGATGGAGAACTTACCTTGATTGGCAGATGTTTAAATATTAAATTCAGTATTATATTTGTTCTTTCTTTAAAATGTATTCGACTTCATTGTCTATACTGGATATAGAACATTGTTTTGTGTTATATCTATCAAATGAATGGGGGATAATACATTCTACCATACCAGCCATAGGAAATTACACCAATTTCCAGTCACATGTTCCCGTCAAGGTATGGCCATCCGATGAAATTGAAAATTCAAGTTTGAAATACTCCGATTATATTTCCCCAATTGTATTATGTACTGTGTAACATAACTGAGTCACTTCAATGCATCACTATAACTGATCACTTTGGTAATGCATTCCTCTTATAGATTAGGACATTTATGGGAGACATGCATTTTAGATTATAAGCCAATAATCAGACCATGGATCTGAGTCAGACCAAAATATCCCATAAGAAATGACGATTAAGAAGTAAAAATATTACATCTTGACAATTTGTAAGTCCTGCTTTTTGGCATATCATCTCTAAACCGGCTAATTGTCTCCACCTCCTGGCCTACTAATATACAACATTTCTTACGGGTGGTGATATTTTCATACTCTTCACATCTCATTACTCTTCACTGCATACACATCGACCACTCCGATCACCACCAATCATTCACGCACACGCTAGACTCATATGCAATGTGGGTGAAGTGTCAAGATTGCTTGAAGACAACGGCAGTGTGGGACTAAACAGTCGCCCCACTGAGGTGCCTAATATTTCCAGAGGTCTCCCATCACAGTTCTAACCAGGCCCTGCTCAGCTTCAGAAGCTTGACGGGATCTAATAGAACCTATCTTTCTTTCTATATGTTTTTTTGTTTGTTTATTTATTTCAAGTAAAGAAAGAAAAATAACATACACAGTCAATTACACTTCTCAGTCATATGACTTGAAAAGGGTATGGAGGAAGCTTACGCTTATTCGATTCCAACCCCCCACTCACACCACATTACACCAAATACACACACTACACAATAAACAGAAACACGACACAGGCCCCAAACACTCCGACCATACACCCCTTTGCCCCATACAATACATGACAGACACAATGATAGTACTCAAAAAACAGTACTCAAAAGGAGTAGCTCCATCACAATTGCACATATTTACAATAAAGTCATTTACAGTCTTGACATTTGAAATGTATAAAGTGTAACTCATCTTAAACATTGACCCATACCCAGGCCATACACACACATGTGCATGTGCCTGTCTATGAGAGCATCAATCTCCCATCTCTTCCTGGTACTTATTCATTATATATCTTTTAAACATTTTTTTAAATTGCACAAGTTTTTTACATATTTTCAATTCCTCTGGAAGACTGTTCCACAATGTCACCCCCCTCACTGAAATGCAGTTAGATTTAAGGGTTGTCCTAACTTTTGGCTTATATAGTTTATTGATCCCTCTCAGATTATAAGAGTGATGAGCATCCCGATCTTGGAAAAGACTCTGGATGTGATCAGGAAGAGAATCTGTAGATGCTTTGTACATAATAAGAGCTGTTCTATAATTTACCACATCATACAATTTTAAATTAAATGAGTGAAAAAACAGTGGGTTGGTGTGATCATTATATTTTACTTTATGAACAATTCTAATTGCTCTTTTTTGTAGCGTAACTAAAGGTAATAGATTTGTTTTGTAAGAATTTCCCCAAATTTCTATACAATAATTTAAGTATGACATTGTGAATGAGTGATACAAAATAAATAAGGCATTTTGATTGAGCATGGGACTACATCTCTTCATCACACCAACACACTTTGCTACTTCTATATATATATATATACACACACATACATGTATAATATCGCCTCGCAGTTTGCAAAATATAAACTGCTTTGTAATAAGACAAGAAAAGACTCAAACTAGACTTTATGTTGGGACAAACAATGTATTTATAACACAAATAAAGTTATCCAGCTTTACGCAAAATCACCTGATTATTACTGTCTCTAGTAACGGAACATTTTAATACTTATTCTGAACAGCCAATCACAAACGCAGTAACAATAAACGTAATTTTTGTGCTGCCCAATCACAACGACTCTTACTCGGGAGTCCTTTATTGACAAAGGAGAAGGTGACATTTCAGCAGACCGAGCTTTGCACACACAAAAATCACTCAACAAAAGGGTGTTTTTGTTCAAAGGGATAATGTCGTTTTTAGGAAGGGCAGTGGGAATTCTGCGGACAGGTTCAAGGCTGATTAGACGAGGCCCACAACGTTTAACAGCAAGAAAGTAAGTATCTGTAATGCCGTTAGCAAGCAAGCTAACACACCAGAGAGAAAGCTAATATGGTTTTAAGCTGTACGGTTTTAACTTGAATATGTTCATTATAGTGGAAGCGGCGGACCGCACATTGAGCCCCAATACAGGCAATATCCGCAGTTAACGAAGAATCAGAAATTTCAGTCCGAGCTCATTAGCGGCGCCATGTGGTTTTGGATACTTTGGCATTGCTGGCATGACCCGGACGCGGTGTTGGTGTGTATAGTTTGATAGTATGGTGTGTACATCTAATATAGCGAAGCGTTTAACTCCATTTCGTATTTTATCAGGGGCACTTCCCATGGCCAGACGCCTCCGAGTGGACAGACGAGGAACTGGGCATCCCACCTGATGATGAGGACGAATGAGTTATCGCGGTACATTCAAGATTTGGTTAATATATTGTGTGTAGATGAGTGTTGTAACATTACTTTTTCTTGCAGAACGTTTATCGATTCTTTAATAAAGCTGGAGTTTCCCGAACGTTGTATATAAGTAAATTATCTTGTAAAATAAAGCCTTCTGGTTTAAAGTAAACTTGATACAATTGTGTTTTACATTTTCAAATTTTATTTACACCCATAATTCAAACTGTAAAAACAAAAAGCTATGCCTGAACAGTGTCACAGTTAGCCAGTGTATATTCTTAAACCAAAAGCTATAAAAAAAAAACTTGCATAACATAGCACCAAACATTTGACAGTTTAATACAAAGCAAAACACAAAAGGTGTGGCTGTGGCTCAGCTCATGTTTTCAATGACATGCAGAGTAAAAAGTTGTAATGTGAAAAGGAGGTGCGTCAAAAGGTACACTGGATCATTCTGCTGCTGTGTGCAGTTGTTAAAGCGGAAAGTATCTTTCTGATTAAAGAGTCAACTTGGCATCAGTTTCCCTGGGATATTTGCAACTCAAGTGCAATGGGGTCAGCAACAAAATATAACAGTTACATGCACTGATCAATGTAAAAGTTAGAATACAAAACATGTTTGAAGTGAATGGTTACAATGGGAAATACTGATAAGTTTGTTTGATCCCATGATGTGTCCCGTCAAAATTCATGTGCATGACATACCTGAGGTTAAATATGCGGACTTATCAAGAGACTTCAGCACTGGCATTGATTCAAAAACATTCATTTTATAAAATCCCCAGTCGTTTTTTGGACAAACTTTGGATTAACCACAGTGGCTCAGAATATGTTTTTGCAAATGTCAAGTGGCACAAGGTTAAGAAAGATGAGGTGGAAATTCACAATTACTTCCCATTTGCACTTACCACAAACACCCGATAGTGATGACTAAACAACAGGGAACCTATTAATGCAATAGAATAGATGAAATCACTCAACAGGTGTTGACTTTAAAACAAAACATACACATTCAGAAATTATTTGGGTCAAAATATAATAAAATCTTTTTCCTTAATAAATACATCATTCAGAATTTGAAATACAAAAAGAACATCACAGGGAAAAATAAATAAAAAAGGTACATTTCAAGTCCAGTTTCTCACAATTCATTAAAAAGACATACAACACTGAAAAGACAGCATCAGATTTCTTTTTGCTGAAATAATCCTCAGACTTAACTGTCTCTAAAATTGAGTTTTATGCACTTCATTGTGCACATCTGAAATAGATAAAGTACACACTTATATTTTACAAAAAAAGACTGCGACCAAACGCTGCTCAAGTCTTTTCCTCCAAGTCATTATTGCTGGTGTGATTGATAGAAAAGGGAGAAAATACTAAATGACAAAGCATGAATAAAATTAAATTTATGCACCATATAATCAGTCTTTATTCACTGCCTCATCTTTAGCACCATCGGAAACAGCTAAAAGCACCCTTTTGGCCTTGTACTCATCCTCCAAGGCTCCAACCATTGCTTAATGCAGAAAGAAAAAGGAAAAATCCAAGTATTGGCATTAAAGTTGTTGACATTTAACTTTTCCAGCGAGAGCAAGCAGTTGTGTCAATTTGAAAAAACATTGTCCTCTTTAATGCCTTTCTTTAAAACATTAGGCTGCTGCAAAATGAAGAAATTTAGAAGCTCCTTTTTAGTGTGCTTTTAGCAAAGACGTGCGTTTGCTCACAATACCCTGTCTCCAGCATGCACCAAAGTTGAACGTTTCAAATTCTTTCATATATGGTCACTAGGCAGTGACTTGTTTTGTACACAATTTGTACATCAGTACTTTTGTACAAAACAAGTTCATGTATTCTTTTCGAGAATAGTCCTTCGTTTGATCAGTCAAATAAAATTTATACAAAGACCCTGTTGTGTCTGCTCAGTTTCAAAATTTTGCCCAGTCTCTGCTTGGCTGTAGCCATTCCCTTTTTAGGCCTTTTGCCTGAAAAAAACAGAAAACATAAAATGGCATTAGTTCTCAAGTCATTGTGTAGAAAGAAAAAGTGCATAGAAATGAGCGCAAACCTTTAGTAGCCTGATTGCTTATAGGTGGAGAGTTTGGCGCTTGTCTTTTGGAGGGATGCAAAGGGGGGGACATTGAATTATCACAGTACTGGTACTCCATCTCTGGACTAGGAAGTCCCTGATTGTCCCAAGCCTCGTTACTGCTGTTTCCTTGGCTGTCTATGGGGCTCTTGTTTCCCTGCAGATGGTGCTGCTCCAAGTCCCTCTGTCCCAGCAGGGTGTGCTGATTCGGGCTAGACCACCATAGCTCCTGCGATAGTTCTGCCTTCTCAGTCTTTGAGCACAAGAGACCCGCCATCGACAGCATGCCCTGAATGGCTTCTGTGCTAGGTGAGGTAGGATGTTCTCTACAAAAAAAGGAAGTGAAAAAGTTCTCAGGCTGTAAAAGACTAGCACATACAACATATGTTTGTAGACCAATTATCAAATACATTTACCAATTTATTTTTGGGTTCATTGTTTAGAGGAAAACATAATTCTGTAGAATTAAAGCTTCAGAATTTGATATAACATAACATGGTATTCTAAAATTCCGAAATATAAAGCCTATTGACAATTGCATAGCATTTTTTATTAGAGACTCTTCCAAAGAACTCATCTCATCCAGAATTTCAACCATAGACTGTATATATTAACGAACGTAGTCACGCCTATCTCCGCCGTTCCAACTAATGGGCCAAAAATTGGGCTCTCATGGAGTGATTTAAAATTGCCGCGGGGGCTGGAAAATGTGAAAAAACGCATCTGCGTATGTGTCAGCCGGCGCGAGCTCCATTCATTCAAACGAGTGACTTCAAAAATTCGTGCGAGTAAACTAGAGTGGTCCAAAAAAATTCACTTCCCTCAGCATTGACACACATGTGGAACGGAGCTTTGGGCCAAGAGCCAACTTTTGGACCATCCTGTAAAGACGTTTTCGAGAGGTAAGAAGATGCTATATGTTAGCATTGGCTAATTCTTATTCCGGGTCCACCCCCATTAGGGTTGCCAACTTGAGAACAAAAAAATAAGGGACACCATTTGGGTGGATCGGGTTGAGCACTTTTTTGTCCTAATTTCAATCTACACAGGAATCATGGAATTTCATAATCACAGTTTTTAGAATGTAATTTTTTGGCTACATATAAAAATCAAAAAAATTCTTAGGCAAAAAATAAATGTCATAAATAGGTGGAACTCTTTGGCTGGTTAAGGACTTCATGCATTCTTATTAGTAATAAAAAATATAAAAAGACAAACGCTGTAACATACATTATTTATGTATGTTACAGTAAAGACCATTTACTGTAAAAGAAAAAAAGAAAAACATGTATTCATTAAAAAAACTCACACATGTTGAAATCAAAGTCTGTAGCAGTTAGATATGGTCATTATTTATAGTGTCTGAGAGTTTAGTGCGTGTACATGGCTTCAGTAAAAGCTATTTTTTGTTTACAAAGCTGGTATTGACATTGGTTGACGGTCCCTAAGCGCTTTTCTCGGCGCTTGCAGTGAACTGGATTCAATGGATTTCTCTGCATTAAAAACAGCGCATTGGATTTGAAAAATCAACATAGAGGTGATCATTTTAGCAAATTACTTTTGTTTAACAAAGTAACTTCCGTGAGCTATTGACCGCGGAAGTCCGAATCTGGGAATATGACGCTACTTTACCAGACTTCTGCCAGGATGATGCTGCGGGCATGGCCCCATAGATCCATGCACGGCCCACGCTGTCACTTGTCAACAGTAAGGGTAATCCATGGGGTAAACCCATGGATGTGATCAAGCCTACGCCCCCTTTGACACTGTTTGGCCGAAAGGTAGACGCTTAAACTGTGATTACTGTGTGTGCGTGTGTCGCTTGTGTGACATGCAGTGAGTGAGTGATGCATTTAAGGCGACTCTGAAAATACGGGACAAAAGCCGTTCCGTATCAGTTCAATACGGGACGCACATAGTTTTTCTATAATACGGGACAATTCCGTATTTCAAGGGACGGTTGGCAACCCTAACCCCCATCGGCCCGGGGTGGTATTGCAAGCATGTCAGCGTACGTCATTTTGACCACTTTTGAACCGGGACCCGCCCCCACTAGTTTCAACGCATGATTGATTTTGATTCGTTACAAACCGTTTGAGTGGTCTGTGTTGGTGCCTGAGTTTCTGATTAGACTGGTCCATCTTCTGTTCAAGTGCGGTTAGGGCCTCATCCTCCCGTGAACTGTCTGTATCATCATCGGATGAAGATAAGGGCGACACTTTACGATGCTTTGCAAAAGAAAAACATATAGAAACAAAACCAATAATACATTTAGAAACAATTATTGACAAGATGGGTTTATCTAAGCACTGAAAATATTTCAGTATGAGTATTTACCCGAATACGAAAGTCACTCTCCGACTCCACATCGGACGCACTTGAGAGTCCTGAAGGATCTTCCCTGAGCTTTGTTTTGTCTTCCATATCTGTGAATAGTTTAAGTTGAAACATTAGATATTATGGTATGATTTGTTATGCATAGCGTAATAAGTAAAGTGCATAGCACTTACCATTACCAGCTCTAACAGTAGATTTGCAATTTGGTCCAGTGGATGAAGTTTCGCCTTCTATTTTCAGAGGGCTGCTCCCTGGTCTTCTAAAATCTCTGCAAAATCATATTGTTTTGAGCAAACGATAACAAAACGGCAAACGGACAATTGTGCTAGAACAAAAGTGACACGTGTGCAATTTAAATATATGAAATATACCTGATTATTCTTCCATTAGCAAACATTAGCCGCAAGTGATTATCGTCTAAAGACTCTGCAGCTGCCGCAGAGGCAGTCGAAACTTTGTTGAGCTTTCCATGAACTTTTGCACAGAATGCAGCATCCTATAAAAGATGTGGACATATTGATCACTCAAAAACCACTCTATTAAAATAAAAAAACACTTGTGTGTGATTAAAATATTCACCAGTATGTACAAGACTCACCTCTTCAAGAGGGCCAACTTCTAATCTCTTTAGGACCTCTCTGGTGTGCTGCTCTAGGATTTCCAGATTGGTGGGAATCTTTGGGGCCTGCTGCTGCTGTTGCTGCTGCCGCCTCAGCCGCCTGGCAGCTTTCCTGGCACTTCGAGCCTGGCATAGCTTCTCCAATGTGGAGCGAGTCGCTGGACAACTGTTGGATCCAGATCCTGCTCCACAAGAATTTCCCTGAGATTTCACTGGCTTATTACCATTTATAGGTTCCTCCTGATGATGGACAATGGTGAATGGTCATTTCAGATTGAATGAATTGCGGCAATATTTCAATTTTAAATCATACTTCAAGGTGGCGAATCTCCTTGGTCAGCTCTTTAATTAGATTATTCGGCCTGATATTGTCTGGTACTTCACTCGTTGGCTCCGTTACCTAAAGGATGAATACAAACATACATCCATAAATACATAAGAAGAGAACAGGAAAATGGGCGCAAAATAACAGAACAAAAGTTAATAACTAACCGCTCTTTTCAACCAAGTCTTCAGCGCACCAATTAAAGCCTTTACTCCATCTATCAGATAGCTTGGGGGTAGACAATTGTCTTCTCTGAGTTCTAAGAAATACAAATGCAGATATTGAATGAATGTTTCATAAAAGGTACATGCTTCCATCCAAACAAACATACCTTTCAGAGTTTCCAGAAGGTTTTTAGCCACATACCAACAAATTGCCTCAAAGTATGGAAATTTAAATAGGTCTGGTGTTTTTAGTCGCCTTTCCATTTCATAACACCTGCAATATAGTGGTGAAATGCTTTCAGCTGTTTTTGTGCAACATGCTAAACAAGTATGAGAAACATACCTGAGCTGCATGCCAATATTAAGATTGTGAAGGAAATTCCCTCCAAACGCCATGCAGTCTTGAGAGGTAAGAACGCCGTGGATCCAACCTGTAGAGGGCGCCAAAACCAAGCATTTAACTCAGATTAGCGGCATACGTTTCAGGGAGACAAAGGCATTCGTTATGGTTAGTGAATAGAATGCATTTGTAAAGTGTTATTGATTATACATATTCAGCAGCTTTATACCAGATATAATATTTATACAAAAAACATGGCAGAGTTGAAGAAAATTATTAGGTGAGGTAGGTTTTCAGTGAGAAACAGCAGGCGCCTGAGGAGAATAGGAATTGGGTGGACGGCTCTGATAATGCCGACTGACCAACCCCCCTCTTTAAAATCCACGACCAAAAAGCCAAAGGATCCATGTCAAAATGCTATAGCCTGCTGAGCAAAGACTGGCAACAAGACAGATTCAGGCTTTGTCCATCAAGTTTCAGGGGCATCGCAAAGTTCACATTAAGACAAACCAAAGGATTAAAGCTGGGCGACCCAACTTTCAAACCGCAAAAATGTGAAAATCCATGCAACTACTTCCTGGCTTCTCACTTGTCCAAAAAGCTAAATAGTGAATCTTTCAAGTATGCAAAATAAGTAAAAGGTTTTAGATTAAGACAGCAAGTTGTGGGCCGCTGTTTCCGTTTATGTGATTATGTGAATAAACTGAAGGAAAAAATATATACTCCTGCTTTAAGTGTTTGAGAGATTCAGAGATTCATTCTATATTTGGTTTTTTCTTCAAATCTTTCACCACTTCAAAACCCAAGTAAAAATGTAAAATGAAAAGGCACCAACCTGTGGGAATGAGCAAAGTTGTTCCTTGGGGCACAACACACTTGTAACATTTGTCTACTTTGTCCCCAAAAAACACTTCACTCTGATTGGGCGAAGAGCTCCACGCTTCATATAGTGCAAGGTTTTCCAATGTGGGCTTGATTAAAAAAAATATTTTTTCACCCTAAGGGGCAAAAAACAATTATCAGGCAAATTTGTGACGCTTCGAGACACTTTCTACAGAAAAGAACACTTACCCAGAGAACGTGGTACCAGACAGATGTGCCCCCAAAATCTATATGAAAATCAGTGTAGCTGTCTTTGACTCCCATGAGGCAATACTTCTGCACAAAGGGTTTGGGGAAGAACGAGTCATCAGGCCAGTACTTCTCTACCCAGGACATTTTCTGTGCTACATCAGGGACCTCCACCAACCCAGACATCCTACGGTGAAAAGATGCATTATTACTGACAGATCTTTCAACATACTAGACATTTGTGCATGACTGGCAACTCTAGAATAAAACACACATACAACTTACTTTGTGTCTGAGAACTCCAGGCTGATGAGGTTCAAGACCTTAGGTTTATTGACGTTAGTGTAGTATTTGATGAACTCGCTGAGCTTCATCTTGCTGTCTGCCTGACGCGCTACATCAATCACATCAATAATTTTGTTCCCACCTGCATTAAAACAATAAAAAAATAATTATTCATTAGTTAACCCAGACACCCCAGCATTTTAAAGTTTGCTTAACAGATACCAGTACACAACTGGACAAAGTTATGATTCAATTTGCGCCCAAAATATAAATACAATTTTTAAAAAAAGTATTTCTATTGCATCAAAATGATTTATATTGGAGACTGCCCTTGTGGTTTGCCTAGCGTTTACACCACACGATACTGGACATAGCCAAACATGGGAGATCCACAAACAGCAATCCTCCAACTAATGTCTTTAGAGGATTTTTAAAAATGAAAAAAGTTTCCTACTTCCTACAAGAAGCAAGTTGGTGGTTAATACAGAAAGGGGCAGCACACAGCTGGTTGTTGCATTTTCCCTGCACCCCCCAAACACCATTTATTGCCCCAGTGTTAGCTCGCTCACTCACTCACTCCAGCTGGCCAGCGTCTGAGGACATCCAACAGCTGGACCAAGAAATAGCTTCGAACTAAAGCTATCAAGCTGACAAGATTAACCATTTAATACATTTGTATATATGTATGGTTCAACATTTGTTATTGTCAATTCTTAGGAATGATTGTCTTTGTCGTCAAAGAAACTTGCATATCACCACAAAAGTTCAATGAACAAAAGGATAAGTTTCCTCAAAAAATATTGAGACCCCTGTGCAATTAAGCAAATATAATTCCTCTCTTTGTCCTAGTGGGAACAAAGGCAACTTGATATTAAGGCTGTTCCTGGTTACAACACCTGTCTGAGAGTTAACATTCAAGAGGACATAGAGATAAAGCAGGAAAGAGACTGTAATTTGAACTTGACGATAAAAACACCAGTGGCTTTAGGCTCAGTAATGGGCCTGAAATTGGAGCTGGATAGCCCATTTCAATAAGGCCTGGTGGTCACCAAGAGGGCAATGAAAGCTCCTTTAAGAGTTACTCATGCCTGCCCTGATGGTGCGTTAAAACCTTCTGAATATGAGGTTCGATTATAATGACTCAACTGCACATATATGGCTACTTAAATGACAGAATAAGTTTGCATTCATAAGTTCACATATACCTGTAGAATTGACCAAAATTAGTTTTCTGAGGCTGATGCTGATCAGACTAAATAAAATTCTCAACAGGCAGTTGTTGATCATGATAATGATTTATCACACATTTACACTGATGAGCTAGTTAGAAATTATCTTTAGAGGTTAAGAGAGTCAGCTAATTTTAAACAAAGAGGAAAGTGTGGAAAATGGATACCAAGTATTGTATCAATTGTTTGATATTTTGAATAATTTGTCTAATTTCTTTTTTGTATTTTTTCCAAAACATTTTCCCATCCTTCAGACATCTTTCCCATTCTTTGTTCTTGTCATTATGGTTTTGGGGACACACAACAAACACAAACACAGAGACACACAATACTACTTACCCACGTAGTCCTCCACATCTCTGACAGAAAAAGTAGTCGGAGGCAGTTTGAGACCCAGACCCTCCATCTCAGTGATAGCAATGGGGTAGTTAAAGCCATGTCTCTCCAGATAACGTGAGGTCACCTGCTCGCCCTTCATCCGCAAAAGAATTTCTTCACCCCTACAAAAAAATACATTCTGCATTTACATTTCCTCACAGTGTTAATTTGTAAAAATAAGAATGTAAAATGTACCCAGCAAACACTCTGTTCTGCAGCTCCTTGACAAACACTGGTGTTCCTGCTTGCACAGGTTTTGTTCCATCATTTGGCTCTGTGTAATCATGTCTGTGCCAGTTGTTGCGCTTTTTCACTGCAAAGAAAGAATGATATGCATTTGATAAACACACTCCACATGCATCACTGTAACCACCATGTCATGACTGAAGCAATACAGCCTTCACAGTTTGATATTTAAAGGAAAAAGCTGAAATCAACGTGACAGCAATTAATTATGCCATCAATAACAACAAAAATACATCAGCACAGTATAGAATTAGTGCCATTTGAGAATTTAAGAAAATGTCCCTCTGGTCACAGACGCAAGATGTGTTAAGCTGTATCTCCATGTTTTCTTTCAGAATTCTTGAGCTTGTTTTAGTGCTCACACGTTATGCACACAGCCTTCAGATGGAACATAGTGATAAATCTTACGCTTTAACTTTGACAGCATATACAGGGTAGCAAAGTTAGAATTAGAATTTTTTGTGTGATAACTTGTTAATGCCAACTTACAGTAGGTTTCATCATGATTTAGAGACCATGGCGTTACCCTGATATAAAGCATTTTACAAAAGTAAATGTAATAAATTTGGTTTTCCAATTGAAGAGGACAGCCTCAAACTCCATTCAATTAGTTGTAATGTGTGCCCTAAGGGCTCTGAGGTCAACCCATTCCCTTCCCCCACAAACTACAACAGAACAAGACGCACGCTCTTTTCTTCTTTGCTGCCCAGGCGAAAACTCCAAGTAACAAATCAGGAAGGATGTTTAGTTAACGAATTGCACAGCCATTAAAATGAAATAAAGTAAAGTATTTGTATTTATGTGTTTATTTGGGACACTGCATATTCATGAACAGCAGGAACTGTAATACTATTGTAGTTATGTAGATAATTTTCCTAAGTAGACGTAATAATGACTGCATGACTCACGTAAGGAGGGTCCATGTACAACATCACAGTTGGGACAATGGTAAACATCAATATCAACAGCCTGATGCTCCTCCACCTGCACACAGCTAAAAACAGAAGATAAACATGCATTATTATCAGCACAAAACATTGAATAGACTTAAATTATTCAACTTTTGAAAAATAAAGTAAAAACTGCAAAAAAAAATCTTCATTCAAAACATGAGTCACTTGAATTGAATTTTGGAATAAATTCAATATAAATATTTCAGTAAAACATTATTTTTGGTACAATGTTTTATTCATTATAGAATAAATAAAAATACTGGCTTCTTCCGGTCCGTGTACCTTCCGTTCATCCTATTTATGTCTGACAGGTACATCAAAAAACAAACTCTGGGACATTTTCTTCTTTCCCTTGTTGAAAAAAGTTGTTGAAAATTTTAGGCAAACAACTTTCCTAAAAATAGTTTCATTTGTCTGACCTAAAACTTAGTTTGGTGTGAAAGGCCTCAGATTTAATTTTCCTGGTTTGCAACATTCCATTTTAGGGTTGTCAGTTTGGTGGCCCCGAAATGAATTGGTATTTCCGCCCTCCCACCCACGGGAGAACTGGGACATGGGAGAGGAACCGGGCAGCCCAGAACAGAAATGGGGCCTGGGTCTGCACAGGTGGAGGGCATGGATCGGAACAAGCTCATGTCGAGGAGCATGATTTTAACATATTTTGGTTTTACAGATATTGGATTTAGAATTTTTTGTCCTTTACACAAAATTCAGTTTATGGAAAACGAAAAACAAAATCCAATATTACGGTTGTAGTTCAATATATGCTTCACAAATCAAACAACTGAAAAAAAAAAAAACCTTTTTTCTTCATTTGCGACGTCAGAAACGAAAATAGAATGAACGGAAGGTACAGGGACCTCTTCCATTGAAGTGACTTGCAGTTGCTCCAAAGTGAGAAAAAATAACCAAAAAACAAGTGTATGCATCGCATCCTTGAATTGAAAACAGAAAAGAAAAATGAATATGCATTTAACAGAATACCAGCGTTTTTTCAGAGGTTGTTCTGGGCCCACACCCAGGATTAAGCTCATGTCTCCACTGTTTTAATGTTGTGGTGAGACTTGTTTTAAGAGCAGAGTGTATGCAGCCTTTCTTCCAAACTGGGCAACTCGAACCCTTTAGGGTTCTTTCATAAAATAGAATTGTAATTTGATACAGTAGCAATGCACGTTTGTTATCCAGAAAATCACAATAAACGTAATGTACAACGACAAGGGGGCGACTGGTTCATTTGGTAGAGCATTGGCCTTTGAGCCTGAAGGTCGTGGGTTCGAGCCCACTGCAAGACCTACTTCACGACTCCCTCTGATGTCTGCTGCCGTTGTGTCCTTGGGCAAGACACTTAACCCCATTTTGCCTGAAGCTCCCGCTGAAAGATCCCGTTGTGTACTCAACACCTGCAGGTTAACATGCACTTGCCAATGTTTGAGTGTGTCACTTCTGTCCACGTCTGATCAAAATATAAGCTACAACCCAACATACAGTGCCTTGCGAAAGTATTCGGCCCCCTTGAACCTTTCGCCACATTTCAGTCTTCAAACATAAAGATATAAAATTTTAATTTTTTGTCATGAATCAACAACAAGTGGGATACAATCGTGAAGTGGAATGAAATTTGTTGGATAATTTAAACTTTTTTAACAAATAAAAAACTGAAAAGTGGGGCGTGCAATATTATTCGGCCCCTTTACTTTCAGTGCAGCAAACTCACTCCAGAAGTTCAGTGAGGATCTTTGAATGATCCAATGTTGTCCTAAATGACTGATGATGATAAATAGAATGCACCTGTGTGTAATCAAGTCTCCGTATAAATGCACCTGCTCTTTGATAGTCTCAGGGTTCTGTTTAAAGCGCAGAGAGAACCATGAAGACAAAGGAACACACCAGGCAGGTCCGAGATACTGTTGTGGAGAAGTTTAAAGCTGGATTTGGATACAAAAAGATTTCCCAAAAGATTTTTGAAATGGAAGGAGTATCAGACCACTGCAAATCTACCAAGACCCGGCCGTCCCTCCAAACTTTCATCTCAAACAAGGAGAAGACTGATCAGAGATGCAGCCAAGAGGCCCATGATCACTCTGGATGAACTGCAGATAACTACAGCTGAGGTGGGGATGGTGTGTTCAGGGTGATGAGCTGTGTTGCTTTTACGCCAAACATATAGTTTTGCATTGTGGCCAAAAAGTTCGATTTTGGTTTCATCTGACCAGAGCACCTTCTTCCACATGTTTGGTGTGTCTCCCAGGTGGCTTGTGGCAAACTTTAAACGAGACTTTTTATGGATATCTTTGAGAAATGGCACTCTTCCATAAAGGCCAGATTTGTGCAGTGCACGACTGATTGTTGTCCTATGGACAGACTCTCCCACCTCAGCTGTAGATATCTGCAGTTCATCGAGTGATCATGGGCCTCTTGGCCGCATCTCTGATCAGTCTTCTCCTTGTTTGAGATGAAAGTTTGGAGGGACGGCCGGGTCTTGGTAGATTTGCAGTGGTCTGATACTCCTTCCATTTCAATATAACTGCTTGCACAGTGCTCCTTGAGATGTTTAAAGCTTGGGAAATCTTTTTGTATCCAAATCCGGCTTTAAACTTCTCCACAACAGTATCTCGGACCTGCCTGGTGTGTTCCTTTGTCTTCATGGTTCTCTCTGCGCTTTAAACAGAACCCTGAGACTATCAAAGAGCAGGTCCATTTATACGGAGACTTTATTACACACAGGTGCATTCTATTTATCATCATCAGTCATTTAGGACAACATTGGATCATTCAAAGATCCTCACTGAACTTCTGGAGTGAGTTTGCTGCACTGAAAGTAAAGGGGCCAAATAATATTGCACGCCCCACTTTTCAGTTTTATTTATCTTTATGTTTGAAGACTGAAATGTGGCGAAATGTTGAAAGGTTCAAGGGGGTCGAATACTTTCGCAAGGCACTGTATATGCATAGACAACAGGAGGAGTGAGTGCTACAGGGTCCAAAAATCAAAGACGCAATAAAAAATCAGGTGCTCTTCAGGATGAGAAATAACGTCGCAAAACAAAGATACCCTTTTCTGTTGGAAAGTAGAGACAGGGTGAATTCCGAGGCACTCTGATAAAAAAGTCCTTTAATTAGAGAAGGGACCAACGCATTTCAGCCAAGAAGGCCCTGCGTGGCTGAAACGCGTTGGTCCCTTCTCTAATTAAAGGACTTTTTGATCAGAGTGACTCGGAATTCACCCTGTCTCTACTTTCCAACAGAAAAGGGTATCTATGTTTCGCAATATATGCATAGACATCTGGGGATAAATGCTGTAAAACAGCTGCAGTACATTCAAAATGCTGCAGCTTGAGTCCTGACTAGAACCAGGAAGTATGATCACATTAGTCCAGTCCTCAGGTCTCTGCACTGGCTTCCTGTGGCTTAGAGAATAGACTTTAGAACAGCTCTGCTTGTGTACAAGTCTCTCCATGGCCTCGCACCAAAGTACATTAATGACATGTCGGCCCTGTGTGAGAGGCGCTCTACAAATAAATTATTGATTGATTGAAATGCCCAAAACCCTACTTTTAATAACATTAAAGAGTATTCTTTAGGTGTCAGCATTCATTTAGATTAGAACTGCTGTACTGACATCAACTAAACATCCACAAAAAGGAAGCTTGTCTGCCTGAACTGGGGTGGGACCAGATTTGACGCTTTTTGCAGCACTGCTTTGTGGAACTACTGCTTCACAGAGGATGTTACGTCAGAGGAGCAAAATCTTTGATCATTCTTCTCTTACAGGACATTAATCTTGTTCCATTCCTTCAAACTGTAGTGGCGCTTTGTTTTTATCTGTCCAGTGATGTCTTATAATGACAAAGTCCTGTCGAGTGGCTGTAGCAGCACAGTACTGATCACCAATCCAAACATCCGCAGTGAATGAGAATGTTTTGCTGCACTTCCTCAGTCCTGTGACAGAGGCTGCTGCGCTCATCAGTCTGCACCAGTAAGGGAGTCATATATTGTCCTCCGTGATCAAGTGCACAAACACAAAGGCCATTACTTTAAGCCCTAAATAACCACTCTGCATGTGGCACGACACGGCCACATTTGAGAACTATAGGCGCATGAAGTATGGAGGCTACCGAGAGGGCACCACAACACACCTGGCTCTTTCCAATGTGGCTGTAAGTGCAAGTGCTTAGAAAGAAACATTACTGATTGTTATGGGCTGGCTCAGCTAAACTGAGAAATGTGTACAGCTTATGCAATTCGTCAAACATTTTTTATTGTTACAGACGCAACCACTGTAGAATTATTTTATTTTTTTATTTTTTCAGTTAAAAAAAAAGAATAAAAAATAAAAACAATTGCTTTTACTCTCAGAAATGGCATCATTGGCACCTGGAATAAATCTTTGAGGGAACCAAATTGAATACTGTGAATTGAATACCAGATAATGTTGCTCTTGATCAGACATTTTGCCGTTTTGGACTTGAGGTGAAGGGGCAGGGTTTCTCTTAATACTACAAGTTATATTATTATGACTGAAAGTACATTTTCAGTACAAAGTTTTTTTAGATGGGTGGGGAGTATCATCATCCCCGATTGCCACAGACACACCCTGCAGGGATTGGGAGAGAGGCCTCTGTTTTGTGGAGTTGTAAACAAGAGAAAATCACTTTGTTTTTATGGGGCGTCAGGCAGCCCCTGGGGATGAATAAGCACTTAATCGTTTGGTTCAGGTCGAGTTGGCTCATGGAGACTCTGACTGGGGGCCTGCTCGCACATGTTTAGTGTAACTGTCCTTTCTTCAGACAGGGAATTCAGCAGTCATATCTTTGGCTCCACAATTACCAAACCTTTTGTATTTTATTTATTTTATTTTCTGTTATGTAACCTGGGGTTTTGCTCCCCATGTAATACAACCTTGCGATGACCCCTTTCCATTCAAAATTCTGTTTCAAATTGTTAGGGTCAGGTTTTAATTTTAAACGTTCTCATACAACAAAAACCATTGTGGTTGAAAATGGAAAAAAAAAAATATTCCAGACCCAATTCTTGTGAAACGCTGTAGGTGTGCTGTCTGCTAGGGTTGTAGTTAAAGATAACGTTACTAACCACTTGCCAATTAGTTGGCAGATTATGATTATTAATTAGATTCAACATACCCAAAGCCACAATGATCTTATAACAGAATTGTTTGTTTATTCTGTAGTAATTACCACTCTGTTGCGAGTCTTACAAATAAATGTGCTGAACCAGGCATGGGCCGAGGGCCACATTGGAATCCCAATTTCCAACGTTTTTCTCAGGCTTACATTCTTTTTACACATAAATATTCAATACTTAATATACAACGCCGCAGAGCAAGGACCGCAACTGCGTCTTCAGACCTATGCATGAAGCACAGAGGGACGTTATAGTCTTTATAATACATCTATGGGGCTCAGGGGCCTGATAGAAATGTGAACAAATCTGTAGACCACTTAACAGATTTATCTTGTTAATGAATCCGTTATAATAAATTGGGTTTATATATATTGTGTTTTGGGTTCCTTGTTTAGAATGAAATGTGATATTAGCTTAACCGGCCAACCGCTAGAGGGGCCATGTCCTATCTAGATAATATACAAGAATACTTCTTAAACACACATCAAGTGCCACCTGAGTATTTACGTCTTTCTAAAAATTACTAACTATGTAAAAAACTAGTCAAATCACATCAACAACTTTACTTTGGATTAATCAATGTACCACAGAAACACTGTTTCAGACAGTCTGAAACAGTATAAAAATCTTGATTTCTCTGCCATTTCATAAATAATACAGCAGAAATATGTACTGGGATAATTCAACTTGATATGTGATCAATATAGAGTGTTCCTGATCAATAGTGATAACTGACACCAAAACCAATAAACTTCCGGTCCAACAGTAAGAATTGTTTGTAAACCTACATCTTGTCCAATAGCAAATTCTAACATCACAGACTGAAAATTGTGTCATTAATTAAGACAATAAAACGACCACAATGGGACTGTGGACCAGCGTTGTCCACCCTCGAGTTGAAGCCATCCATCTCGCTTTAGTGTGCAATGGGCAGCACTGACGAATCATGCACTGAACTTGGGTCTGTTCACATCAATCACCTCCCCTGTCTGCTCAGAGGGTCACCCCCACACACCTCCGCCGACAGCAGGCAGTCTGGGACCTGCAATGTGACAAAACCACCAAATACACAAAGCAGCAGGAGAAGAATATGTCCGCATTTGTAATTCTATGTTGAGATTAGGTGAAAAGTAAGTAATCTTTATTTATTTATTTATATATACCACCTTTTCACTGCAGATCTGAGTCTCAAAGCGGTTTACAATTGTTAATTATTAGATATAGAATATAAGATATTCACTTGAGTCATAGATGTTTTTGTTTGGCTCAAGGAAGGCTGGTGAATATGGTATTTTTAAACATATTTTTTATATATTTGAAACATCCCCGGAGACCGGCTGAAACAAAATTGATGGCTTGATGAAGACTTATTTAACACAATGTATCATGTGTGTATGAGTGGTTAAAAATATTAATAAATATGTTCACTAAATGAGTTGACAACCATTTCAATAATCAATTAGTTGAGTTAATTGATTGGCTTGTTAAAACCCTACACAGAAGCCTTAATAACAGGATCACTAATTGCTTTACTATATAACTTCATAATCAATCAAATACATCTTTACACTGGTCTTTGTCTGCTTACATTTTGCCAGAAACTACACGCACCAATGGCCTGTTATCTCATTTCACACCACATCTTGGAATGTATTTACAAACAAAATGTTTACTAAAGGGTTGGGGACAGTAGCTCAGTTGGTAGAGCATTGGCCTTTGACTCCCACTGATGACTGCTGTTGTTGTGTCCTTAGGCAAGACACTTAACCCCACTTTGCCTGAAGCTCCCACTGAAAGATCTCAGCTCCTGTGGACTCACCACCTGCAGGAGGATCAATGAGGGGCTGGTGCTATGTGTACTGGGTGGCATCTCTGGCCACCCCCCCCACCCCACCCCCCGACCCAGAAATGGATTAAGGGGAAGAAAATGGATGGATGGATGTTTACTAAAGGAGGAACTGTACAGGACTTGTAAAAATAAACAGGCTTTTTGTTCGTGAAGTTTGACCACAGTTCACGTTCACTAAAATATACTAAATTTCAGTTCAAACAATGTCAATGTTTTTGGCCAGCATTTCATGAACGAGGCTGGAAGTGTCTATTTTTGGAGCCGTGCATCTGCTTATTAGTCATAAAATGTGGAGGCTTCAGTATTTGCTCCTCTTCCTGTCGGCACATGACATGCAGCCGGTTGTTACTGGCTCGAATTTTCCACAAATTCTGGCTGCTGATTTTTTTGGCAGAACAGTGTGGTTATGCAAGGACTTTCGTCACTGAAACATGAACTAAAGAGATTATTGTTTCTATCCTAAACAGAAACCATGGATACGCTCCCACACAAGCTGACATGACCTAGACCACTCAAGTGACGACAATAACAGTATGTGACAAATCATTGTCAGCACTTTGACAACACCAACTTTCACTCTGAATAATTCCGTAAACATTTTGCATCTAGATTGACACACATTAACATTAGTTTATATGTATCCTTTTTAATATGAAAGTTCCATTATTGGGAATAAAAAGCAAAAAAAAAAACACCAACTTCCATTTAATATAGTTCCCTCAGCCGACGCTAGGCGTCCTGGCCATGTGTATTTGGATGAAAGGGGCTTTAAATGTCTCAAGCTGTCACTCAAAAGTCAGACTCCGGTATCAAAACATGGCATGATTTTATTTTATCTTGAAGACTTTGATTAGACAATTAATGACATATTAATACCCTAAAAATATTTTAAGTACTAAAAACCAAATCAAACAATAATAGATACCTTAATTGAGCAAACAAATGACCACAATGCCATAGAATAGGTTTGGAAAGACCTAGTTACAATTCTTCTGCATCAAAAACAAGTTGTGTTACCATTACCTTAAATAACCCAAACCGCGAGCGAAGCGGCAAGCTTGAACAGAGCAGGTATCTAAAATATGTTCTCATTACTTACTCGCAAACGCTGGTAAATGAGATAAAGGAGAGAAGAGAGAAGATAAGTGCCAACACAAATCCACATCTAAATTCACCCCGATCCCCCGGACTGCGCTCTGGGTGACGCCGCTAACCCTCACTAAAGTGCACACATACGCTACATACACTACATACACATTGTTTACAAGAATCTTGACAAACCATTGCGCGATAAACAGCTCATCCGGGATTAAAAAACGTGTTTAAATGCATTAGACATGCGCTGGGTAAGTAAAACTCTTGTTTATTTCGGTCGACCCCACTTTCTTTAGTCTTGTCAATAGAGGCTTTAAATCCCGTCGCCTAGCTTGTTAGCCAAGTTAGCTGCTAGTCAACAACGCCAATATGCCGTCGCCTTTCCACTTTATAATTCGATTGTTTCACCATTACCTAAGACCAAGTATTCGGTTAACAGCTGATTAACGTACCTGCCATGAAACCAGTCTTTACAGATGTCGCACTCGATCATAAACCGGCTTACATCGTAAGGCTGCCGGCAGACACAGTACAGCGGGGCCGCCGCCATCTTCCTACTGTCCCCAAACAACGCAGGAATGGAGCGGGTGGGATTTAACTGGGCCTACGGAAAACCCCGAAGATTCACGAAGTCAGCCGAGAACCTCCTACCAGGCATCCCCACTCCTGACGTCACTTAATTCACGCTGATTTCCGTCATGGTTTTGTGTGCGTGGGTCATGGATCTATGATGTGGGTTATCAGTGGGTTCAAACAACGGGGCAACTTTTAACCAAGACGTTAATTAAGTAAAAGAGCGAGATATATTACAATGTTACTCATTACAATTAGAACCAAGACTACTTATGTTTGTCCCAAAAACAACATCCAACCAAATATATCCAAACACCCACGTCCAAAAAAGTAAGCTATTATCCAGACAGTATTAAACATTTGGTTTATAAATAATAAAAAGCACTTTGCTTTTTCTAAATCACATACCTACCATTGATTGTTACAAGCAACAACCAGGCTTACTTCAAACATTCTGAAGATCTAAAACCAGTTCAGAAGTGTGTCTTCATTGGTGCTGATTTTTTTTATTTATTACCCATATAGAGCACTTTAAACAAACAAACCCAAACACAGAATGCACCCCTCGAACGTCTCGGAGGAGCGTGTCTGACGTGCGTGTGTCGTGAATAGCAATGGGACCCACATCTTTTTTAGCTGACAGACTCAAGCCCCTCCCCCATCAAATCCATCAGTGCAGCTCTGCATAGGAAAAACTCATGGGCCCAATGCATCTCTGCAGAAACTCATAACTTGCCATTCTTGATTAATACATTCTCAATCTGTATTTGAAGCACAGCAGATATCATTTACGCTTCAGCTCAAATTACGAGAAACATTTGGAAATCAAATCAAAGTATCATAATCCTCCTCTTCTTCGTCTTCTTCTTTTTAATCATCATCATCATCATCATCATCATCATCATCATCATCATCAACAACAACAACAACATCACCATCACATCACCATCATCATCACCAACAACAACAAAAACAACAACAATAACAATAACACAAAAGATAAACAAAAAACGTATATACACAACCAAACAACACATAATCATATCGAAGTGCATTTCTTCTGTTTTTATTTTGCATTTTGAAACCATTGAACGTATGCTGTCCTCTTTTGTGTAAATCCCATTATATGCATTGCCAGTTTGACAGCGCCATCTGCTGACGACAAGGCAGAATCAATTGCGTGTGCATGTTCTGAACCCGGAAGTGCCGCCCTATGCAGGAGTCTCGCAGGTTAAAATCGTGGATATATATTATTATGACTAAATGATCTGTTCTCTTGGTTCTTTTTTTTTTTATCTGAGACAAAAGACACTACGCATGTCCAGGTCTTCTACAGCCGCAGGTAGGATAGAGCCTTGGGTGGTAGATCCATTGTTTTTGTGCTTATGGTAATGGTTATTTTTGTTAACCATGGATGGAATTGTTATATGATAATTTTTTGAATGTAAAGCACTGACATTTTTATATTTGCTTATTTTTGTGTGTAATTCAATATTGAATGATCTCTATTTTTATTTCGAATATAGTTGTTCCATGGTAGTATCATTTTTATATACCTAAAAGTACCTGTAGGTTATGATTTCATATTCTTTCATAGATTTATTATTTAAAATCAAAACATAGCATATTTAGATTTATTTAAACTGAAAACACAAGCTGCCACAATAATTATTTCTGGGGAATTTGAACGTTATTGCCTTTTGTTTCGTCTATAATATGTTGTTTATAGATAATTTAACAAAAAGTCAACAAATATTGTTTTTGAATAATATTTCCCTACCGATACAAATAGATGTTTTCTTATCTAAGATTAAAACTGCATTATTCTGGGATCCAACTTGTATGAATCAACATTTTAATTTTATTTATACATCATGCTTTCAGAGATGTTAAGATGAGGCGCCTGTCTAGAAAGAAGGCCCTGAGTCTGGTGAAGGAGCTGGATGCCTTCCCCAAAGTCTCTGAGAGTTATGTGGAGACAACAGCCACCGGAGGAACTGGTTAGTCTAGTTTTGTAAACTTCCACAGAATGTTCCAAAGTGTTCCAAAGTTAAACTCGTACAGTTTTGGTGATATTTATTTCCAAGGAATCATGAATGTGATTTTATACAATACTACTGCGTTTAATATTTACTATGTCACCTTTATGTTTTAATTTTCCACAGTGTCCCTTTTTGCGTTTATTGCCATGGCCCTTTTAGCTATTTTAGAGTTTTTTGTTTATCGAAACACATGGATGAAATATGACTATGAAGTCGACAAGGACTTTTCCAGGTTAGTTTTCGAGTTGTAATGACTTGATGCGGTCACTTTGAAGTTTGATATGTTGTATTTTATTTGCAGCAAATTACGAATAAACATTGATATTACTGTTGCCATGAAATGTCAGCGTGAGTATCCTCAACGTTCTTTTTTTTAATGTACAAATAACAATGCTGTGTGAATAATATTAAGTTATTTTTTACATTTCTGACTTTATCAATATAGATGTTGGCGCAGACATTTTAGACCTGGCTGAAACCATGATTACCTCCACTGAATTGCAATATGAACCTGTGAGTTTGGTTTGCGTATTGTATGTATGTAAATGTTTTTACCCAAAAAATGCATTATATCAAGCTGTATTTTTCTTAGGTGGTTTTTGACCTCAGCCCACAGCAAAGACTGTGGCAAAGGTAAGAAATAAAGAGATTCCTTGTCATTAGTTCATTCACGTTTGTCCATTATTTCTTTCAGTTGATTTGACAGTTTTATCTTTGCTTTTAGTGCTTTGCTCCTTGTTCAGAGCCGACTCCGAGAAGAACATGCTTTACAAAATCTTGTTTACAAATCTCTGATCAAAGGAGACACCACTGCGCTACCTCCAAGGTCTGTCCTGCCAGAGAAACAGAGGATACAATTTAAAACACAATATTTACATTCTACAATCTGATTTTACCACTTTGGCATTTCTTTAGGGAGGATGGTGCAACAGAACCCCGGGATTCCTGCAGGATACATGGATATGTGTATGTGAACAAAGTTGCTGGAAACTTTCACATTACTGTAGGAAAGTAAGGAATTTAGTGACTTGATGAAATTGTTTTCATACATGTCTTTGTTTACTTACATGCTTTAAATGAACCTCTATATAGACCCATTCATCATCCACAAGGACACGCACACATAGCTGCATTTGTGAGCCACGAGAGTAAGTAACATGTACTGTATGTGTGTGTGTGTTTTTATGTATATATATAACATCTGGGAGCACCAGGTGTCAGTGGGGTGGCTTTTACGTGCCAAACTATTCTTATATCCTTTCCTAGTGGTGGAAGTGCATGAATGATTGGTGGTGGTTGGAGGGGCACAAGGCAGATGCTGGGCCTTGCCTCATGTGTGCCACAGGGCAGCTGTGGCTTATCACAACTGCGAATGGAGTGGATGCATTGAAACCAATAATGTGCTGTATGAAAACAATGCATTATGATTATTGTCTGTGTGTATAAAACACACATAATGTTGTAATAATGTTACACCATTATGTAAGTTGCCTTGCCTTACATTATATATTTTTCAATATAAAGTGTACAACTTTTCTCATCGAATCGACCATTTATCCTTTGGTGAGATGATGCCAGGCGTTCTCAATCCTCTGGATGGCACTGAAAAAATTACCCCCAGCAGTAAGTCTGTATTGATGGTACCACACTAAAGATATTGTATGAACACATTTGGATTTCTTTTGATAGATAACCAGATGTTCCAATACTTCATCACTGTGGTTCCTACCAAACTTCACACTCGCAAGATATCGACTGACACACACCAGTTTTCTGTGACTGAAAGAGTGAGTTTGACAAACTGGTACAACAGAATATCAGCAGACATGGCTAAAGTTTATTTCTATAGGAGCGAGTGATAAACCATGCAGCTGGAAGTCACGGCGTTTCCGGCATCTTTGTCAAGTACGACACCAGCTCTTTGATGGTGACCGTCAGAGAGCAGCACATGCCACTGGGGCAGTTCCTTGTGCGACTTTGTGGTATTGTTGGGGGCATCTTCTCTACAACAGGCAAGTACTTTTCATCAGACTTAATCTGTTCTTATTAACACTAGAAAATGTAAACTGTCTTTCGCACAGGGATGCTCCATGGACTAGTGGGCTTCTTTCTTAACATTATCTGCTGTCGTTTTAGGCTGGGAATCTATAGGGACAGCCAGGTTTTTGCCATAATATTATAATTAACTGGAAAACATATATTCTTGTACTCTTCTAAAATATTTTTCTTTTGTGAATTTACAGCCACCTGATATAAACAATGTGAATCACCATCAGACTCCACTGTTGGCTGACCCAGTTATTAAAGAATAGTATTTTATTATTCAAACACTGGTGTCTAAGTTTTACAATTTCATTGTATTGATAACAGATTGTGTATTGTTTTGAGTATGTGGGTATTTATCATTAAATACATTATTAAAGTAATAATTTGCCAATGAAACCTTATTGTCCCTGTATTAAAATCTCTATATTCGACCCATCCTACAATGCCAGGAGGGCAATCAAGAAGATATCAAACATCATAGCACTGAACAACTGATCTAGCTCCCATGAAAACTCTTTTTTTCTTTTTAACCTTCACAGTAGGCATGATACACCCAATCATTCTCCAGTCTGAAGTACAACAGTGATGAGAGACACATGAAGAAGACTCATCCTTTAATTTTCATTTACTTCTGATGTTCCAAGCAGACTTAGACATTTCAGAGCAGAAAACAAATACAAGACCATTTGCAAATCAAGTTTTAAAATAAATGGATTTCTCATTGAGTGGTGGATTATAGCACATAGTATTAGCCCCGGAGTGGACGATCTTCAATTTGTGATGAGAAACACAAAAAGCAACATTAATATATTTGTGACAGTGTAGTCATATTAGCCCTGTAGCTTTTCAACATGACAGAACCACTGCCAAATGGAACCCCATGGTTAATCAGACTCAAGGTTTGCATACACTTTCATAGGCTGATCAGATATCCCCCCCAACCAATCTGGAGAAACTACAACTCAATATGTCAATTGGAAAACAGAATACAAGGTTTTAGATATGATGACATCTACATCGGAGTAGCTGGAGTACCCAACATTTACAAGTGCTCAAATAAATGTAGTCCAAGAACCATTCAGAACCATTCCATTTTCATATTGTTATTATTGGTTTCAAAAGTTAGGCGCTCCAGCTTTAAGTAGGCAGAATGTGAGTCACTTAAAAAGAAAGTCAAATGCACAAAGCAGAGCAGTATGAATGAGGAGCACACAGCACAAGATAAGTCAACTCTAACTATTATAATTAGTATAGTTATTGATCACTTATCTTGTGCTGTGTGCCCCTCATTCATACGGCAATGCAACACTGAAATTTCCCTGCTGTGGGACCAATAAAGAATCTATCCATCCATCCATCCATTTTCTACCCTTTAATCCATTTCTGGGTCAGGGGGGTGGCAATCAGAGATGCCACCCAAGTCTCATAGCACCAGCCCCAATAAAGAATCTCTTAATCTTAATAATCCCCATCATACCTGTGTGTGTGCCTTGTCCACACACTGCGTCGTCCTGGTATCTCACAGAGCACCTCCGGACTCAAACACAACTCAGACTATTAGTGATGGGCCATTTGATTCAAATTCAGTATTTAACATCACCAAATATTCATGCAGGGCAAAGTCAATCTATCATTCTTTTTTATGCAATAACGATTTCCATTGACTAATTACTAATGACTGTTGAATGAATGCAACACTGAGATATTTCATGAACTGGAATGCATATTAATTCTAATACAAGCTCAGCCACACCCAAGTATAAAGATGTAAAAGTTGTAAACTCGGTTCCAATACAAACCACTGTACAAACCCAATGATCACCCAAAAGTGTTTGAAGACAATGGAATACAACTCTAAATGTGGTTTTTAGTTTGGAGGATAAGCCCTGAGAGATGAAACATCTTGTTTTCGAGGGGATTCACAACATTAAGAAGTACCTTTTCACATTGTCTTAAAACACTAACTGTCTGTGACAGTGACACCTTACAACTTATGTGGTAACATTTAGAATGGTCTCAAGACATATATGATTTGTGATTATGCAGTATTAAAAGGCAGTTGACAAACAAAGCAATAGATTTGACTTAAACAGTAATATTAAAAACTCCTTCGTCTGACTGGAGCACTGCAACGTTCAAGTATGAAAAAATAATTACAAGGCAAGGCAACATATCTAATTTCAAACAAATAATGTGGGAAGAAAGTTTAACAAATAAAAGTCTTCCAGTTGCATATATAATTGGCCACTTGGACAGAAGGTATAGAAACAATGTTTCTGTGAGTGGGGATGGTTACAGTATTCTGTATGTATTGAAGAACAAAGTCCATGAAGAAGACATCTTGGCTGTGGTCCTCTTCGCCTCCGTCCGTGTCCGTTCACAGTGAGGACAGTCTTTCTGAAGCAGCGAGGAAGACTTATTTAGTCAGAGAGCTGGATGCGCGGAAGTATGACAAGAACTTGAAACAGAGGCTGACCACAAAGTACCAGATATTTCTGGCCATTTGTGATCTTGCAATAAACACTCTCCAAATGAAAACCACCAGCAGTGTGTTGAAGGTGTATCGGATATTCCTCAGCCTGGAAAGAGTCCAGAAGTAGTAAGAATATTAGATCATGTGTAAACGTAGTTAGAAGTTACATTTGACCACTTACTTTCTAAGATGCTGTCGAGCAGCAGGAATGTCCGACATGTCCTCGTTCAGAACATACTTCTTGGTGCCAATACAGTAATTTTCAATGTACACAGGCCAATTTAACTGGCGTACATCAAAATTAAAAGTCTGCAAACAAAAAAAAGAAGGAAAGTGTGAAAACATTTGCGTCCGGTATAGCATTGTTTAACCACAAGGGGGAGCTTGACTCACGTATTACCCTAAAGTACACAGTTACAATGTTCTCTGGGGCTTTAGTGCAAAACCTGCATGAAAAAGTGTGTACCTTCCTGTCCTCAGGAGTGAGCTGACCCATGAGCATGCTCATGTTGTCGGAGTTCCACTCCCAGTCCTGGCTACTGAAGTATTCCAGTAAACCAATGGCTTTGTGAAGACGATTAAAGATTCTCATCATCCTAAGGACAGACAATGTGGCCCGCATTGAGTGAATATACAACAAATATGCCCCCAAATACACCTTCAGTGTTGAAATAATCTTACTGTGGTTTTTGGCCTGAGAGACGTAAGAATAAGTCATAAATAAAGGCAGGAAACTTGTGGCTGACCAAAATCCAGTACTGGTACATCAGATAGTTTGAGGTAATGTTGGCATTAGGTCTGCGGAAAGCTTGCTCCAGGGGGTTCCTCTTAAAGGATGACATCACATGATGCTCTGTAAAAATACATGTGTTTGTTTAATTTGATTTTATGGGATTTGTTAAAAGAAACGGTCTATCTCAAGATGGGATGAACTAAAACAGAAATATGCCCAATCATTTTCTACTCCAGCAGTGGCTGTATACAGAAAAACACAGATATAGCATCATATCTGCACAAAACATGGTTTGCTCCACGTCTTTCCATCACAACAAGAATAAAAGTTTTCAATGTAAAAAAAAGTGGCAGAGTATCTTCAAATAAATAACATCAATTTTTGAAGACAACAGAATCTAAATCTGTCTATAAATACCAGATTGCGGTCACAAGTCTCTGTTACCGCTGAACATGACCACAAACTGTCTACTTACCGATCTCTCCCCAGTGGAAAGGATTGATGCCACCAGTCGTGCAATTGTACACCAGAGCGGTTTTAGGTCTGTGGGGAAGAATGAGATAAACCTTTCACAAATAGCCACACGATGCACTTTAGTATCATTGATAACATTGATAGATGTATACAACTCTGATAAAATTTACTATTGAAGGCGCTGGAAAACGGCTGAAAAGTCCTAAGTAGCTCTGAAACAGTTGTTGTTTTATCCTTTACAATTATAATTTTTCTTGCTTTTTTCTACCTAAGATGTTGCTGCAGTACAGGATTCATGGTCCAAACTAAACGGATCAGGTGAAAATACACTGGAGGAATGCTAACTTCTTGAAAAATGCTAATGAAGTATTTAGCCTTTTGCTTTGGACTAGAGCAGAGAAAATGGTCAGGACCAAGCGGCTGCTCCACCTTGTGACCTGTCCTGCTCCACCCAGCGGCTACTCCATCTCTTCTGCTGAAACCAGAAGGGCTGTTGCTGATTATTACTATTGTTATATTTTTTAGAATGATCAATTTGAATGTTTTATTTTTGCCGCTACTGGACATCTGAATTTCTCCTACGGTGATCAATAAAGTATCTATCTATCTATCTAAACCATGATAATAGAATGTGTTATAGCATTGATTTACTGTCACCATAAAATGTAGCTAAAGTCGTTCAACAGTATAACATTTATGAGTATCTAGTTTGAAAAAAATGACACAAACTTGTGCACGGCAGTGTACCAGCCAGCCGCCAGTGTCAGGTTGATGACCACATCTACAGGGATCAAATCTGCCACCGCATCGTTGTTGGCCCTCATGGTGCGCAGGATTCCTTTTCCGGCCTGAACCACACCTTCCATTAGTCAAACCATTTAACAAGCATCATAGCTCATCAAGACACCGTGGCTTTTACTTACAGCAATAAAAACTCCACTCGGCCCGTTGAAGTTGTCGATCCAGCCCTTGAAGTTGAAAAGAAAATTCAATTATGCCACTGATTTACTGTGATTTAATACCAAAGCTTATGGGGTTGTATGAAAATTATTAGTAATGGAAGCCTATTTGGACCATGCTAGCAGTGTATGATTATGGCATTTCCTGTGGTAGAGGAAGGTACAGGGCGGCTGTCCACTTCAATTAGGCTTCATTTATAATGGATGATACTACTGGATCAGCATAGCGCACAATCTCATTATGTTGTCAAAGATGTTGATGTCTATCCATCTACAAAGAGCACTGAACTCAAAAGAGAAATGGGAAAACACAATTGCTAGGGGAGCAATGGAATAAAAAAAAAACAAAAAGATATAATAAAATAGAGCAAAATATGAATCGGAAAATGCTTCTCCTGAGCACAGAGCTTGCTGGGAAGGGCTGCCACAGCGATTACATGGCTACGTGTGAGTCTTTTAATAATTTGCTGCTAGGCCAAGCTTACAACAACTGAGATGTGGACCCATCACATTGGCCCACAAACAAAAATATGGCCTATATTTTTGATATGTTTGACAATAACTACTGCAGTATTTTTGTGTCTTTGTTGTTCCCACTTGGTCCAATAGAAGTGGCGTCTGTTGTACTTCAGGCTTAGAACAGTTTAGTTTGTGGAGATGTGAAACAAACAAGGTCAGAGTACATCCTAAACAGATCAGGCCCTGTTTGTCCCTGAACCAAGCAGAGTATTGGTGTGGTCTTACTAAATCACTAAAGGCATCTGGTTTGTCCATATCAAATGTATACATAAATGAACCATGATCCCACTGCATTATTAAAGCATTCTCACCGGGAAAGGTTCCTGCCAGCTGGCTCCCACGATTGAGGGTCTGATGATGCCAATGCTGAGTTTCCCCTGTTCTTGTTGGACCACGTACTCGGCCAGGGCTTTGGTGTAGGTGTAGGTGTTGGGCCGGTCTCCAATAAGTCGAGGAGTGATGTCTCGCACGATGCCTTCATCCATCCATCTACAATGTACAAGAAATTGTCAACATTCTCTGACATTTATGGCTGGTAAAAGTGATTATCTGTCAGTTATTCAATTTCAATTTCAACTCATTGCTTTATGCCGTTTTGTCAAATGCTGTCAGTCAAAACAAAAACATTTCCATGGAGAATATGTTTCGGACCCTTTTGTTAAAGTCCAACTAGTGCTGTGCTTTGAGAGTGTGTGAATGCATTTAAAGCCTTTGTAAGGAAATGTGTGAATGAAGTAAGTAATGAGTATTTCAATTAACTGTTTAGCTATTTTGAACAAACAGTTATTTCCTGAAAAAGCTAAAGTGAAGCCACTGGAGGACTTATTTTCCAAAACAGAATATTTTATTGTATCAAAACAAACACATTTTAAACAATTCCTGCTTTTGTAGTCATAAAATCTCACAGCGCCAACATATTTTAATAGATTTCTTGTTTGTAAATAGAACAGTAAATGGTTGTTGATGAGTTGTCACAGCTCTAAAAGTGTGTGTTTGGAGCTTACTCAAGAGAGTCGATGAGTTTCTTGGGTTCCACTGGTGGTGGATAGATGACTTCGTCAATGTGCTTGCGGTTGCAGTTTGCATAGGCGGTGGAGATGTGGATGAAGGCTTGGAGGTGCTGCATTTGCTGAGCCAGGCTGAGGAGCTGCTGCGTGGCGATTACGTTCAGCTGCAGAGCATGTCTGTAAGGCAGAAAGAGAGTTACAGTGAGCAATGTTAATACTGTACATGTGTCGACGCAAGATTTACAGGAATCAGAGGAATTGGCTGGTCAGATTTTGTTTAAATATGAACAGTTATTGTGTTACAAGAGCGTTCCCAGCAGCACATGAAGCAAATGCAGTAGATCCATGAGAGCGGAGCAGATCCACAGCACATCTTGCCCGTGGCAATAAGAGGGAAAAAGCCACTTTGACAACATGCTTTAAAAGCAGTGCCTCTGATACATGTGTGGGTGGAGGAGGGATTCAAGCCAGGCATGGCCAAAGTGGCAGAATGACTCCAGGGCAGAGGGACCAGTGGAGGAATTTTCCTCCAACACATTGTGAATCAAACCGTATGTTAGACATCATAGGCAGAAGGAAAATATCAGAATCAACTCTTTTGCAATAATTTTCTAAATTAGAATTTACTGATCAGAAAATTCCTATATAATAATAAACACCCCTAAACTACACATAGTGATGTCATTATTACATCACTATGTGTCAAACTGACAACTTATTGCCCACAAAAAGATATTTTGCATCATCACTGCAGCACTTCCTTTAAATGACCGAGTAGATTATACACACACAGTCCCTGAAAATAATGAATGAATAAAAACAAAAAAGCTTTTTCATAACGGATGTATTTGGAGCTGAAAATGGAAACTGCAACCTCACATCAATAAAACATGTGTCAGTCTTGGTTTGAAAATATCGGCAGTCCGTTTGTATGAGTAATCTTGAAGTGTGGGTTGTTTAAAATATATACCGTAGGAGTTGGGTTGAAAGACAGATCTCGATAACATTTTAGTTTCCGGAAGTCCACACCCCCACGGAACCTAAGCTGCTCTCATTTGAAGACATAAGTTTGGTTCGTACAACAGACTGAGTGTGTACTTCTGTGGCTCATACTCTAATCCTTCTGAGCTTTAATAAATTCCCAGTGAAGGACAATCTGACAACACATATTACTGTTTGAGACACAACCTTTTTTTTGGCAGCCTTTCCCTGTGCAATGACCTTCAAAATAGAAACCTTTACTGTATGAGTGACTCCCAGTGGGGTTAGATTATGGGAAAATATGAAATTGTGTGTATGGTTTTTATTTATTTAAAAGTAAGAATGCATATATCTGTATCAAATCTGTATTAAATATGAAGCAAAATAATCAATGACAATACAATACACCCACTCGCTAATACATTTGAGGTTTTTGAGAGGTTTACATTTTAATACAACCACATTTTTATAATAATGGGAATGCATGACAAACAACCGTAGATTATCAGCGAACACATTTTAAAACATATTTTTATTGTCTTAAAGTTGTTTTGTTATAGCATGAAAAATAGGCACTTTCTCACAGAGTAAATCAATGTGGGTTAAATGTGGCAAGAAACTTGTTCCATCAAATGTTCAGTAAAAAATCAAATAACCGTATACAAAAATCCAATTTTTTTCCTTAATTCAAGATATTTGTCATGCTGTTCTTTCTTGTTCACCAAAGTAATTACTACTTAGCTTGAAATGCTAATTGTTTAAACACCCTACACACTTTATTCCAATGCAAAACTGAATCCCAGCAACCCAAACAGATCTTAAAAAAACAATTCTTAACCATAGAAGTTACTTATTATATAGTCAATCAATCAAAAAATACACAAAAATAGATTCATAAGTAATAACCAGCCTTAAAAACCCTGAATGATGGATTATCACAATGGATTTTAAGTCCAAAAAGTACAGCTACTAATGTATTATTGAATGAAAAGTCTAAAGAGAGACCGGTCACTGGCACTAGACCTCGGAAAAACTTAGACCACAGAAACTTGCATATGTCATTCAGGGAGAAGATGTGTTTGTTGTTGCTAAAGGAGACAGGAAACGTTTACAAAATGATATCATGTCAGTTACTTTCCTCACATCCTCTTCCTGACACTTTCTACTCAATTTATAAAGACAGCGAAGACGATGGATGAACTCTTGCAAAAGCTGAAGTTGTAGATTAAGAGTTTTAGTGTTTTTCAAAAGAAGAGTCATGTTCTGGTTAGCTGTGTATGCCACAAGCCCAAATAAAGGCCTGTGGGTTACTTACAGCCCTTTGTGTAATTTCACATGGCCCTCTGCCTTGCTAACCCAAAGTAAGTCTAAACACAAGTTCACATCGTCATCCAGCCAACTTCAGCTCAAACGTGAACCAACACAGACATGTCATACCTCATTTTAAAACGCTGCATACGGTCTGTGGTGTGAGCCTCTGGATAATTTTGCTTAACTAAAGTGGCTCTTGTACTAAATAATATTGCTTTTAAATGCATGGTGTGTGATTAAGATAACAGAAGATAAGAGATCCTTTATTCTTTCTACAGTGGTAAAATTTCAATGTTGCAGCGCACATTGAACATCATGTGTAGAAGTGTCTCACTTGAGGGGCTCGTCAAAGCGGATGGTGGCTGCACAGTGGAAGACGATATTGATGCAGCCTGAGAGTTTCTCCACGTCCTCCGGGCTGATGGCCAGACCAGGCTGGGTCAGCTCACTGCTGATGGGGATGATCTTTTGGTGAAAGTCTGGGTCGTCTTCTCGCACTCGGTCGAAAAGCTGCACACAAAGATGTAGAAAACATGATAAACCAACATCGTATTCATGAACTTTGAGAAAGAAGGCCAATAATTAAAAGGTGCCTTCTTCAACCGTCTTCTTTTTGTGAAGTGGTGTGGTCTGATAGCTGCACATGTTACCACAGATATATAATTACTCTGCTTTAAACGTCACTCAGTTTGATTTAAAACATAAACATTAAAAAATGGATGATTTCAGTGTGAAGTTTTTTTGTGAGGGGACCTTTCCACAGATATAACTTGAAAGATAAAATCAGACGTTTGTTTCTGATGTAAAAGGAAAGTTTGATCACAAAAAGTATGAATGTCCAGAGAAAACAACAAGAGAAAAGTGGGTCTAGAAAATTATTACATGAAAGAGTAAACGTTTCTGAAACTAAATTATGATAAAACTGAAATGATTGTAGTGTATTGTTGAACTTAGTGCATTATTGTTGGGCTCATTCCAGGATTAGGAGTAAGCTAAAGACTTTGTTCAGTATGTTCAATTGTTTTTGCAAAAAAATCACAATATTCAGAAGGTATTTACGTTCTTGTAAAAGTTAAACATATCCTGATACCGACAACTCAAAGCTTTATTAGATCAGGTTTATTGCATCCAAACCACTTTGTTTATATAGCACACCTCACAAAATAATCAAATGTAAAGACAGCAGCTGAGTGGCAGATGGGCAACCGCAGTGTTCTGACACATTTCTGAGAGCTAGTAATAATCCTTTTCTTATGATGAGTGTTTGACTTTCTCAGCAACATTTCCACCATGAGTAATGCAGGATAAGAAGGCAAACCGCTTGATAGCGTGTCATGAGATGCTGCGGCAGAAGACATCTTGTTCCTGGCAGATCAAACTCTTATCATGCAGCCGCCGCGTACGCCTGAGACAAAGCCCGACTTGTGCAATATCGCCGCACCTGTTCACGCTCGTATTTGCTCTGTGGGGCTGGAGAAAGCATTCCGACACGGAGCGGGATTAGGCCAACTCTTGGTCTCATTTGAGCAGCTAATCCTGCAAAACCTATAGCTGGAAATCAACGGGAAGTTAAGTGACACTAAGTAGGTAGTCATAGCAAAATGTCAAATGTTATTAATGCATCACAACATTCAGAGATGAGTAACTCGCTTGAAATCCACTTCAAGAGGAGCTTAGGGTCGGGCGGCACGATTTTAAAGAAATATTATTAAAAGTGAAATTTCTCAGATAATTATTGCGAAACGATTTTATTTGCAATTATTGTTAAGATGCTTGGACGTTTTTAAAGCTATGGAGTTGTATTTGATTTGTTGAAATGAAATGATGAGCAAGTTCTCACTTAGTACAACGTATTTTAGGTTTCTTAAAAATAAAATAAATACAAATTGATTAACAAAAACAATGCTGTGCTTAAAACTAACATTTGTTCAAATCCAGCCCTGGATTTGCCTGGGCTGATTCAATTCAGTTTTCCACCAGAGCAGGGCGAGTTTTCAGCCGCAGGTTCCAGCATTTTTTGAGTGGAAAACTGGTTCTGAAATGGGAACTGGTCCAGAACCAGCTTGGTGGATAAGGGGAGTGATTAATGGTCTTATTAGCCCGTTTCTTGACATCTCCAGTGAATTTCCTTGCATTTCGAAGCCTGCTTCAGAGTTCAAAACACAGTGATAGCCAGATGTACATAATCTGCAGCAAGATCATTGGCTAATCCCGGTCACTGAAATTGCGTTTACGATTTATTGTACATCCCTAGCTTAGGTTATCGCCAGAAAGCATTCATTAAACAGATGTTAAATGTCTAAACTGTTTACTTTCAGCTGACAAAACGATAATTTAAATAGCACACACAAAGTCAGTGTTGTGGGGGCAGAGCAATTTCTAACGCAGAAAAAAGTAGGCATATACTGAGAAGCTTCTTTGTTGAATGGATGAGAAAGTGCATTGTGAAGCTGTGTCGCCCCTTTGTTTAAACCCCTGTGGAGGATCAGTGGTCCGGTGCCAGCTTTAACCCGGGCGCCCTTTGCTACGAAGCTGTAAACAGGGCAACAATGGAGCACCAGTGTATTTTCTTAGCACCATGCAATAATGAATATTCTATGAGAGCTAAAACTGCCTATGTGCAACAAAACCTCCCAAATGCTGTAAAGAGTAGAATAAATACTTAAAAAATAAAAAAACAATTCAGATATTATTCATAAGAGCACTTCAAAAGTAGTGTGTATTAGAGTTTGTTGAGTTGCATCATGGCATTACTGTGTGTATGGGCGGACAATAGGAAAACTCCTACAGAACAATGGTGATCATAGGAATAGAGGAATCGACAACACAATTAAAACGTGACTCAGCTGCTCTTTGTCGCTGGGTGGTGTTTAAAACAGGAGTTGGATTTCGAAACCCAACACTAACAACACTTTCCTTTCGGCAACGCAACTTGAGATGCCATTTAGACTCGATTACCTCTCACTCAGTGAGTGGTGGGGAAAAAAGTAAGGAGTAGAGCTGGAGTTATAAAGATTACTGTTTATTCCAACTACTGTGATCAAATGTAATAATAGTTAACGTATAGATTCATCGTTTCACAGCAAGAAGGTCCTGGGTTCGATTCCACAGCCAGGCCTTTCTGAGTGGGGTTTACATGTTCTCTCTGTGTCTGCATAGGTTTCCTCCGGGTGCTCTGGTTTAAGTGAAAGTGATGGCACATTAGTTTGAACGGCGGAGATAGTGAGTGAATGGATGGTGTTGGTGCCCGTGTGTTTGGCGTCTTACTTCTGTCATAGAATGGAAAAAATACATGAACTCTGAAAAATTGTAAAGTGCTTTGGGTGACCTTGGTCTGTAAAATGTGCTATATAAATAAAGATAACTAAATTACTTACATACAAAAATGAAAACAAGTATATGATTTTAAGAATCAAATAGAAATTAATCTAAAAGACCAAAACTTTTGGAATATTTCACATCATGTGAACTTATTCTGTATTCCCTGGCAGAAAACTGTAGAGTTAAATATACAGAGATGGTCTAGTATTTACATAAGTGAGCCTCAAGTCCTCCTCTTGGCATATCATGAACAGGACACAAGCCATCTCTTTAGAATACATGTCTGTAGAAGGAGCCGGATCCATCAAAGTATGCCACTCAAAAGCAATTAAGAGCTTGGCAATCAGGGTGACCTCCATCCTCTGACATGTATGAGCTAATTTAGTCAAATAATGGGTTGTGAGCAGAGGCACAGGGGATTGAACAACATCTTCAGCTCATAAAGCGATACTTGTATTTCTCTGGAGCTTAAGGCTTGAGCGGAGAGAAGGGTTTACACAGGCAAACAAGTGGAAATGGGATATCACTGGGCACACACTGTGTCTTTCTATTAGGTTAGCTGGATATATAACATTAGCAACCAATGTCCTTCAAATAAAAGCTTAACCTTAATTTGAACTGTTTATAAATAATTAGGCAGATCTGCGTAATCCACAAAATTGTGATGCCCCTGTTTTGAACAGACAGCACGAATAGACCAATTCATTATTGAATTACACTACTTTCGAGATTGAATGGACCTGAATGCCGATAAACAATGACGTCATTTAGATGTCAAGGTTTTTTATAGAGTATTTTAAGTCATATCTCTATAACTAATGTGTCGCTATCTGCAGCAGCCAACCTCCAAATGATTCAAGATCATGTCAAAGCCTTCTGTCAACCGCACATTAGATTAGAAGTGAATAATAACAATAAAATAACTATCTTAATCAACTTTCGCTGTCAGTGTATAATTTACAAAGTGTATTTGTAAATTATACAGATATGTGGTTTTTCTTCAGGACTTCAGTAGGCTATATATTTGTCCATAGCAGAACAATTTCAGTAATGGACTGTACATATAGTATAGCACAGATTACAGAAATAGTGCAATTTTGCTAAAGATGAGAATTATAATATTGGCTTTTAAAGTAGTGGGGGAAGCTGTGCAGTGATACCAAGCTCACGCAGAGCAATGAGCTTGCACTTGTGGTTGACATTTGAGACAAACCTAATCTTATCAGTTGAATTGCACTGCTCCCTATTGAGGCAGCGTTAAATCAATACATACTGAATATGTATGATTTTTGAGATCCCCTGGTGGAAAACTCCCAAAGAAATCAATTCCACAGTGTGAAATCGCACAGTCACAATGATTTTCTTTTCTCTGTCTTAATATTTGAACAAAGATATTCTGTTGTCAATAACCAACCATAACAGTGAGAATCTTCCTAATTCAGTTCAAGTTATCCTTGTATATCCCTTAATCACAACAGTAGTTATCTCAGACGACTTAACAAAACTGTTGAATTTGCCAACACAGATCAGAGAATCAACAGTTAAGACACAAAGAATAGAGAGCACATGTATTGGTCCATAGGAAGTTTGACCAAAGTCCATGAATGTTGATAAATGTCCACAAATGTTGTTGAATGTTGATTGTCCTGGATCATCACCACAGTCCTTTTTGTTAGACCCGAACAGTCTGACAGACCCTCCTGCATCGGCAAGGAAAAACTAAAACCCAGTGGGAGAAAAGTGAGAAACTTCCGGGAGATCCACATTAAGACAGGGATCCTCTCCCACAGACGGACGGGCTATAAGAAAAGTGTTTCTAAGAGGCTAATAAATGCAAATGCATATCAATACTTTATATGTTTTGGAAATCATGATGAGGCATATATTCCAGCTCTGCACATTATCATTATGAATTTTATTTTTTACAAATATCTTTCAACAATCAAAGGCTTTTCTCAGAAGTGAATACTGGTCCAGTTAAAGTGAACCAGACCAACAATTGTGAACTCTCCCACAGATAAAAAGCATTTTAGTGCAAACACAAGACAAAATCCAATCATGTCATTCCCTCCTCTCCCATCACAGCTTGAGGATATAGCATAAGCTGGACAGGGGGCCCATATGGGGTCTTGTTCATTAGGCAGCAGCATGCCACAGTCCAGGGGTGGGGGCTTGGCCACTCACTGACATGTATCGAAGGCTTGACATGCTATTGTGAGCCTGGCTGCGGGCATCAAAATATTACCACTGAATCAAGCAGCTAGCAAAATGTTAGTGGAGAGGCAAGATGTGCAGGTGGATCAGTTTTAGAGTTCGAGGCAGTCTTTTTGCAAGCCTCACAATACACGTATACACATCTCCATGGGACAAAATCAGGGGTTGTTTCCTAGCAACAGGTGTTAAAACAGTGTCCAGTCCGAGGGGGGAAGAGAGGCTGAAGAGAGACAAACCCACATCTTCATGAATTATCTTGAGGGCACACATGAATACCAATTGGTACTCGAGGCTTGGTCATGTAAATTTAATCTCACATGAAACCAGACAACCAGGATTAACGTTGAAAAAGATCAGAGAGAGAGAGAGAGTGACCAGTGAACGGACATAGAGAAGCAAAATCCTTGGAAAAAACCACTGGTCAAGGCATATTTCCGATGCAACTCAGCTGTGCGTAAAGAGCCGCTTTATAAGTAGGTCACTTGGCAAGTAGAAATATGCATTCCCATTGTGAACCGAACGTAGAAGATAAATGATTGTGTAAAGTCTGAGTCAAGGCTGATCATAACCATCACGTCAAAGTGGAGCTGGAAAGGGCAAGGTCACATTCAAGCACAGCCATTCCTTTGTCTTATCACTGCGCGAGCCAGACGGTGAGAATTCTTTGCGCTGGTCAAAGATAACGGGAGAGATATCTGGTATGTATTATTAAAAAGGCCAAAATGTGCGGTTTTGTTGCAGGATTGCAGAATGTGAAAATGGGATCAAATTGGATGTGATAAAAAATGTATTACAAAAGTGGGTAAGAGCACAATATATTTTTTTTTTTGGAGTTGAAGACGGTGCTTTGACAGTTTGAGGCCAGTACACTCTTGACTGCACATAAGCACACAGCAGCTGCTTCCGAGCACATCAATATGCAGACACTAGCCGTCTTTAGCTCCTCATTAACACAGTGGAGTTTAGGGGATTTTGTTGACTCATGCCTCGCTACTTGTAAAGCTGAGGCATCACATTTTTTACTCCACAACTTAAACCGTTTCCTCTGCTGCCGTCTGCCACCTGTCAAGTACACACAACAGACAAGCTCATGGTGCGCTGCTACAAAACACAGCTATACACCACTACATTTCAGATTTGGTGATTTACAAATAGTTTGCCAGATTTTACTTCAAAACATGTTAAGAATGAAGGGGTGAAGGGTTCTTTTTTTCCCAATCTCATGGCTGGGTCAAAATTTGGAAGTTTTAATAAAGAGCTCCCAGAGGGAAAATGTACAAAAGTTCTAAGGCAAAAAGGATATTTACAACAACAATATACACAACTTCTACAATAAATCTGCTCCTAAAGTCCACCAAGCCACGAACGCCTCGGCAAGAAGGTCCTGGGTTTGAATCCCGGTCAGACCAGGGCCTTTCTGAGTGGAGCTTGCATGTTCTCCCCGTGTCTGCGTAGGTTTCCTCCGGGTACTCCGGTTTCCCCTACCACTAAAAACATGTGCAATAGGTCTGGCATGCGCCTCCTGTAATGGCGACCCCGCTCCCATCTCTGTGTGGAGTGAGAGACAAATGCCCAAAAATAACAATTGTAAACCGCTTTGTGACTCTGGTCTGTGAAAGGCGGTATATAAATAAAGATTACTTACTTAGCCACTTCAAATACCTCCGCTTGCACTTTACACTATCTCTACAATTATGGGTAGTGGGTTGATACAGGACTCCACGCATTTAAGAATCATCCGTATACACAATAAATGAAATTGTGAAGCTTCAAATGAGGAAGAATAAAATGTCCATGAGATTTTTAAGCTATGGGAGCATGTATGTCTGGTTTTGCCACAATGCCACAAAGAGGAGCCATGGCGACGACAGCGCACGCACAGGCTAAAGTGAAACAGCAAATGTAGCGTGGTTAAGAAAAGTAGTTCCTGAGCAAGTTGTTGTTGTTGTTGAATCATTTGTTTGTCATGTCGTAACAATTTGTTCATAGTAAGTTGAGCCAAACTTAGGATGAGTTTGTTGTATCTGTATTGTGATGTCATCAGTCCTAGATCTCCCTGTATATAATAAAATCCTCTCATAGGCCCTTTGACTCATCCCAACGGAACAATTTAACTCCTTGAATGTTCCTTGTCTTTTGAATTCGTTTGCAGGTGAACTATTGAACTCTTTTGTGTTGCACCTACTCATAAAATATTGACTTTATTGCTCAGTAAACACACGTTCTGAACAATCCAAGTGCTATTGGAGAAATGCTCATCTCTTAAAGCTGAGGTACCTAACTTTGTATTAACTTGTTCAGACCGAAAAGTTAAAAAGTCAATCATCTACCAGCCCAAAGAGTGAAATAGTGACTCCCAGGGCTCTTTTTAAGGTATGCAAAACAAATTTTCTAAAATGACAAAGACGGAATGTTGAGGTCTGATCTGTTCACAATATTTTAGTTTCACAAGACTCTTTCTCTGATAAAAGGTGTCAATAATGGAAAAAGGTTTGCGATCCCAGATAATGAATACATCTGTGAGTCAGCATAAGTACACACCTTGCACTTCATCATGTCGCTGACCCGCTGCTGCATGGACTGTCCCGCTTTAGGCCTCACCAGGATGTACAATGCTTTGACTTCAGGACACGACCTCAGCAGCTTCTCCACCAGCACTTTGCCCATGAAGCCAGTCGCTCCAGTGATCAGAATGTTCTTCCCAGCGTAATAGTCTGGTACAGAGGACATGCTTCTGTCTGCGGTGATGTCCGTGAGTCTGAGCGGCCCATCTCGGCTCTGCTCCCCGACACCATCCATCTCCTGCAAAAACAATAGACTCACTGTGACGATCTGTGTGTTGTCTTCAACTTAGAGCAGAACGTTTCTTAAAGCTGGAGTATCTAACTCTTGTTTGTATCATGAATACATCTATATGTGTCCGGACAGGGTCTTGTTAAAGTAACATTCTGTGAACAAATTAAACCACAACCCGCTTTTATCTTAGTAATTTAACCCTTGTGCTTCTGATTATTAAAAGTAGAAGAAAAACACCCTAAATGAGGATCTAAAATGGTCTAAATGACCCAGGGCAGGTCAAGTTCTGTAAAGTCATCAAATTCAGCTATAAAACATTTATTTAGGGTCTTTTTTATTGTGGGTCAATTTGACCCAAGGATAGCACATGTTATCAAGATCATACTGACAGCTGATTGGCTGAGTGAGGGCTGCTTCTCACACAGGCCAAAAATACATGCATGTGAAACCTAGAGATAGAACCAATTCAATTTCATTTATTTTTGTACAGCCAGAGGATTTAACAAAGATGCTGAATCAAACGGTTTCAAGTTTTTCCAAATTATCGGTTAACTTTTCCAAATACTGTTAATTCATCCCATTTCCAGCTTTAATTATAAGCACTTGTCCTATGCCTGTGTTTGATTCTACTGACTGATGAACCACTCCCAAAATTAAGCAAATAATGCAGGCACAGCCTATCCTCTTTAAGATTTACAACTTCCAAGTTATTTTAAATTGGCAAGAATTTTTTTAAGGTTCCACTTATTATGACTCATATTTTTATAACTGCTTGGCAAACTCGTATTCTTCAAATCACTCTCACGCCCTGCAACAACCTCCTCAAACAGTTTGGTTCTATGACTAGTTTTCACATGCCTCATCTTTAGATCAACTTTTTAAGACAGAAAGTGAAAAAGAGGACCACTCTCACCCAGCCAATCAGCTCTCACTATGTAAAAGACACTATGAGACAAAGACCGGACCTTGTGATCTGATTTGTTCACACAATGTTGGGACAAACTAAAATGTATTTCTGAAACAACAAAAAGTAATAACCTTGAAGGAGATCAAATTCCACTGAGATAAACATTCAATATACTCCATTACACGTTAATCATCACTTGAAAAAAAAAAAGGAATTTTACCACACAAATCTGAAAACTAAAATATGTTTAAACATTTACAGACGGAAAAGTGTAATCCAAATCTCTGGAGTTGATCCTGTGGTGATCTAAATATAGCACTTTCTATGTTGCCTCGAAGCGATGACAAGTAGGTTAGAGGAGATTTTCTGCAGAATTACAGAAATGTGCCAATTTAACTGGTGTGACACAGGGCAGCAGAGCCACTGCAATATGTAACTGCAGCAAGATTTTAACAATCGCAACATTTTACAGCACTTTATACTTGCTCCTTATTATGCTGGAGTCAGGGGTTTTGGTACTTAAGTCTTGCTTCTTCATCATGCTAAAGTTGGACATTTTCAGACTTCTTTCCCTATTATAGAAGATACAAGAATGTATTCGCCATTTTCAGTAAAACCACATTGGAAAAACTGTGCAAGACTACCCCAGTGTGCACCAATATAACAATATACCAATATATTATGCAAAATATAGATATTTTATACTGCTTATTTTCATGCTTGAGATTGTATTTTATTTCACTATAGAGTTAGTGTGCATTTATCTTTTGCTGTGTGCTCCTCATTCCTTTCCTACCATCTATAACTTGTGATGCAACACTGAAATTTCCCCGCTGTGGGATGAATAAAGGACATCTGGCATTTGTATTGTTATTGCGCTCACCTCAAAACAGGATGATCAAGAAGTGACAGGACGCTAAATGTTTTACTAAGATTGAGGAAGAGGAACATTATAGGCGGGTTACTCATTATATTAGCCGACTGAGATACTTGCTGCTTTTATTATATTGTGTGGTTCTTTTTGAGTGTTTCTGATTGATCTGGTGTTGACTGCTCACCATTCCCATTCATCTGCTTATCTGCATTCAATGCTTATAGAGTTCTGACCAATAGCACAACCATGTTCTCCTAGTAGAAAAAAGATAAGTTTGTTTGTACATTCATTTTTGTCCATTGTACATTAATTCGTGTGACATTGATGAGTATATAGACCCCAGGAAAAATAGCTACTGTTTCTTTCAGTAAACAAACCTTATCCCTCAGTGGGTAACATTCAGACATGTTTATTCCTGCAGCTGTTCAAAGTTAACTGCAATTTTTTTTAAAATATATTTTATAATTCAATTCAAATAAATCTATTCTTGTATAGCCCTAAATCACAACAGTAGTCATCTCAGAGTACTTAACAGAACCATTGAAATCACCAACACGGATCAGAGAATCAACAGTTAAGACACAAAAAATATGGGACCAATGATCATGAATATTGATAAATGTACATGTATATTTAAAGTCTTGAATTAAGTATTTATTCATCTTTGCTCACTAATTTTATTTACTCACTAAAATACAAACGTTGACAGTTTTGGATTAAAAAATGTAAATTGAAAATGATTTAAAAAATTAAGATATTTTATTTGGAATGAGAAAAAAAGGCTTCTGCCCGAGAACAAGAGGAAAGATATTGGTTTGGTCTCTTGACAAATCTTCAAATGGGTTTTTCACAATCCATTTTGAATAATATCTGCTTTTGTTAAATTTGCTGATTGCACCATCAGTAATCATGCAGCCCTTATCTGCACGGTGCGTTGCAACCCTGAAATGTCCCTGTGGGGGCAAACAAATGTTGGGTTATCTCTCCCCATCAGGAGTCGTGTGACTCGAGCGGCGCCAGAGCTATGCAACCCTCGATCTGAATAATGTGTGGGCTTCATGCTGCCAACGTTGCTGTTCATTTGTGTAACCAAGACAACGCTGCTGCAACAACACTGAGCTATGATGGCTCCCCTCCGCGGCTGGCATCACACCTCCCTCTCTTCCAGACCAGCCACCGTCAGTTTAACCACAGCCAACTGTTCAAACTCTGACAAGACGCCTACTTGTAAAATCTTGCTGTCGCCATCTAAAGAAATGTTTCTTCCAAAAATCCTCTCTGAGATTGAACAAATCGGATTAAGCTTTCACAAGAAAGTGCAATATGGAACCACATGTGTCCACTGTCACTTAACTACCCTCCTGCTGCTAACATGTACAGATGTAAACATACAACTATATATTTCTTGCACCAGAATATTACAACATTTTACACTTGCTTCGGATGCTAAAGTCAGAGATTCTAAACTTAATTCTTGCTTCATCATGCTGAAGTTGGATATTTTAGATCTGCTTCCTTATTACACTAAAGCTAGAGATGTTTTACTTGCTTCTTTGTTATGCTATAGTTAGAGATATTATTTTATTTTAGTATAGAGTTATTGTTCATTGATCCCGTGTTGTGTGCCACTCATTCCTACTGTTTTGTAACCGGTGATGCAACACTGAAATATCCCACTGTGGGACGACTAAAGGATCTGGAAGTGAAAATACTTAAATCAGCCACAGAGACAGTCACTGATTCAGCCAGACAATGAGTTGTGTCTAAACGCAAAGGTCAAAGCCAAGGTCCTGTGTACATGCTTTGTACATTCTCTCTTTGTGCATCCCGGAGCAGCTCTGATCCCTATGGACATGGCGTGAGGGCATCGGGGTCACTTCACTCCGGATTAACACCAGACAATAGCAATGCTCCAGCGGCCTGAAAAGTATTGTAAAAGAGCGGATTGCTGCAAGAACTGTACTCAAACACATGCCCCCGCGTTCCTCCAGGACTTGACAAGTCAGGGGCAGCCAGATGGACAAGTCTCCTCTCGCTCCGGGCAAAATAAGATGAGTGGAAATGTGTGCACACAACCTGCAAACGCACTAATTCAAACTAAACCACACAACTCCCTATTTTGTGTATGATGAGACACGGAAGAAGGCAATCGTATAATTATAGTGTAACAGCATATCGCATATCATATGTACTGTGTATTACTGTAACTGTGTTTTCAAATCCAGGTTCAAAGCAGATATGTTTAACTGTGCATACACCTGGGGGATTATATCTTTACTCTTTTTAATACGCTGTGGCTGTTTATGATTTCAATGTTTTAAAGTAGCAATATGTAAGATTTTCATGTCAAGTCATCATTAAATGGCCCTAATATGTCAAAAGGAATTAATAAACTATGCTATTTTCAAATACTTCTTTAAATGATAACAGTAGGTCAACGAGATATTTGTTATTGTTTTCATTTCGATGTACCGCCCTTCACCGTTTTACCAATCAGTAAGTTTGTGATCCGGGTTGCCAAAACTCACCCCGTCGAGCAAATGTGGCCGCGGAACTAAAAAAAAGGTCTTGTTATGATTTTCAAATTATTAATGACAAAACAAGGAATAACCAAGGATTTCTAGTGAGGCGTTTGTGAAAAAGGTTATGGATTTGTTGTGGATAAAACTCGTCTGCACATCTGAGTCAGAGAGTGGGACAGGTTGCAGTACCATTTTTGGCCAGATTTTTATACTGCTCCTTTTTAAGGTTTCTAATTACTTGGGATTTTATTTCCTATGTTTTTAATATTTCTTGTGATCTTAATGTTTGTTTTTTACAAATGTAGATTTTGATGTTTATGATTCATGCTTGATGTGATGTGGGTTGTGAGGCGCCTTGTGTTGCCTTGTGCAGGAAAGGCGCTCTACAATTAAAAGTTGATTGATTGATTACTGTGGCGTAAATTCTTGTTTTGTACATGTACTTGTCTTGTACACCCTGGGGACTTTTTACAAATGTATTCACATGTGGTTTTACTGCAAATGGCTAAAGAAATGCAGAAAGCAGAAAAAGGCAAGACAGCCGCCACGCTTTAACCTTGCTTTGTTATGAATAAGCCTGCATGCTTCTGATAATGCAGAGGTGAAGTAAGAATCTCAAGGACTAGTTTGATGTAATCTTTATAAGGCACGTCCAATGTCACACCTGGGTCACTTCTGCGGTACATTTGTCACTGGAATA